TGTGTGTGTGTGTGTGTGTGTGTGTGTGTGTACACTTGTGTGCATGGCACACCCATGGTAGATAGAAAGCAACTTGAAGTTCTACCATGTAGGTCCCAGGATGAAAATCAGGCTTAATGGCAATTGCTTTTACCCGCTGAATAATAACCCAATAAAATATTTTTTACTCATACTGATATGATAAATATCATATGTGATATTAAATATGATGATGATAATAATAATAAAGGGATCTCACATCAATCCTCAGTCTTTCCTCTTTCTATATTAGATCTATTCCTTTTGCAGCATTGAGAGCTATAAAGTAAGTTCTGCTTCTAAGCTGAGGTGGAAATCACACACCAAGGAAAGATTGGGACTAGAAGGTCCCAATCAACCTAAGGGCTTGGTCTCAATCTGTAACATGTTCTATAAGTTCACATTAACCCTCCAGGTCCATGAGGACCCAGGCTTGCGATCACAGAAGCTCTGCCCCAGGGAACAAGTTCTGGATCCATTTTTGAGCACCAGTGTTACTATCTACTAGCTGTTTCCTTGGATAAGTCACAATGTCCTGGAACTTGTTTCCTCTTTTGTTTTCTTCACTTAGAGAGTTGCATGTAACCCAGGCTGGCCTGGAGCTCACCATGTAGCCGAGGATGACCTTCAGCTTCTGCTCCTCCTGCTAGGTTTATGCTGGGCATCAAACCCAGGGCTCTGTGCATGCTAGGCAGGCATGCACTCTACCAGCTGAGTGATCCAAGTACTGTCACCAACTCCCACCAAAAGCAGTTACGATAGCACAGTAACTTTTTTTTGTTTGTTTGTTTGTTTTGTTTTGTTTTTTTGTTTTTCGAGACAGGGTTTCTCTGTGCAATGTTGGTGCCTGTCCTGGATCTCGCTCTGTAGCCCAGGCTGGCGGCCTCAAACTCACAGAGATCCACCTGGCTCTGCCTCCCGAGTGCTGGGATCAAAGGCGTGTGCCACCACCGCCCAGTGCGCAATAACATTTACTAAACGCCAGCCATGTGACTAGCATCTTTTGTATCCTCACAAAACAGCCTTTTGAATCAGACAGCCGCATCACCATCACACTTGTGTAACAGGGATAAAATGACAGATGAAAGGCACTGTCTCTGCTGTGGAGGGTCACCCAATCAGGAGCTGTTGTTTCGGGCCAGTGTCCCCATGGAGAAGATTGGTCGTCCTCATTATCTCTTGAGCCTAAGATTTCAGCGCCCAAATTTCAAATTTGCATTTATGTCTGTACTTGAATCCATGCCACATCCTGTTGCTGTCATACATTAATGGAAAAAAGAAAGATGTAATGCTGAATACAAATGAAGCATTCAAGCCAAGAGAAGCCAAACAAGGTCAGGCCCGTGATGAATAAAAAGATTTTACAGAGAAAAATGATGGGACAGTACCAACCTTCCCACTTACACGTCAGCCACTGGCCCATGGTGGCCCCAGAAGCAGCAATACAGCATCAAACAAATGTCACCTGCCATCTCTATAAACTGTTTTTATCCTACTGAAAACTTCCCTTTGCACTCAAACCATCCCTTCATTTAGGATGTATAATTCTCTAAATACTGAAAGAGTTGCATCCAATTTTGTACGTGGATATTTCAGTTACATTATAATGAAAATGACCGTCAACCCCTTGGGCTTCTCAGAAGTTTTTTTCTCCCTTTAAGAGGGATCAGGATGCGGTGGCTCAACAGTGAAGAGCAGGGGCTGAGGAGATGGCTCAGCGGTTAAGAGCATTGGCTGCTGATCCAGAGGTCCTGAGTTCAATTCCCAGTAACCACATGGTGGCTCACAACCATCTGTAGTAAGATCTGATGCCCTCTTCTGGCATGCAGACATACATGCAGGCAGGACACTGTATACATAATAAATAAATAAATCTTAAAAAAAAAAAGTGAAGAGTACTTCCAGAGGACCCAGTTCTGTTCCCAGCACCCACATCTGGCAGCTCACAACTGCCTGCAAGGCCAGCTCCAGGAAGTCTGTCTTAATCTGTTTTATACTATTGTGCTAAAGACCACTAACCAAAAGCAACTCATGGAGAAAAGGATTTATTTGGATTGCATATTCCAGGTCACAGTCCACTGAGGAAAGGCAAAGCAAGAACTCCAGGAGGAATCTGGAAAGAGAAACTGAAGCAGAGATCAAGGAGGAACTCCAATTATTGGCTTGCACCCCATGGCTTGCCTACAGGTCAATCTGATGGGGACATTTTCTCAATTGAGGTTTCCTCTTCTCAGATGACTCCAGCCCATATCAAGTGCCAAAAACCTAACCAACACAATATATGATGCACTCTCCTGGCTTTCTTGGGCACCCACACACACACTACTCACAGACACACAAATGCACACAAGTAAAAATAAATCCTTTTTGAAGTTTTTTTTTTTTTTTTTAAAGAAGAATCTAGGGCTGGAAATGTAGCTCAATGGTCACATGCTTGCCTAGCATGCAGAAGTGCTGGCCTAGAGCCCCAGCACAAAAACAAATAATAATTATTTATTAATTAATTAAAAAGAGAAGAGAATAGAGGTTTATTGAAGTGTTAACTGACAAGAGGCACAGATGCTAAAAGGAATATCTTCTAATGTTCTATAACACACAATGGCAATGGATAATAACCATTGTGCATTGTGTGTTTCAAAACAGCCAGCAGAAAGGTCTGACAGTCCCTAGCACAAGCAAGGAAATAGTATTTACTATAATAGATATACCAAACCCATTCTTTTGATCATTACACACTATATACACGTATTGAAACATTATACTGCACCCTGTTGGATCAGTGGGTTTTTGTTGTTGTTGTTGTTGTTGTTGTTGTTGTTAAGAAGGAACTGTCTGTCAGGTTCATGCACATTCAAGGTGCTATGTCTCACAGTGGGTGCTGTTATAAATTGTGTGGAGCAAATGCTAGCAAATACTCTAGCCCCAGAGTCAGGCACCCACATTCACTATCCAAAGGGTGTATGAAAGATACTCCTGCACTCTTCTAGCTCCTCCCAGTAGTTTATTTTGAAATACTGGGCGGGGCTCAAAATGTCTCACCCACAAGTCAGCCGATGCCCCTGAGTCCTGTGCAGCAGGCTCCGTTAGGGGCGCAGGAAACATCAAGTCTGGAGAAGGACGAGATAAGAAAAAGGAAGTCTGGGGAAGCTTCGACCTCACTGTCAAGTTCTCCAGGAACTTGGAAGAAACCACACATAGAGAATGCTGGGACTGTAAATGCAGAGACCACAGCATGCATGAGGGGACCCTGCTTCTTAGGCAGACACACGCAGGGGCAGGCCCCTACACACACACACACACACACACACACACACACCTCTTTCTAAACCGTCAAACTCACTCCCAGAAGCCCTCTTCCCCTTGCTCAGAAAAAGATCCACTTTTTAGCCACTGAGCACGGGCTGACAGCACTTTGGCGCGCTCACTCCTGAACTCTGGACTTGTGCCTGTCAGAGGCTCCAGGCAGGGCCAGCAATCCTAGGAGACAACACTGTCAATAGAGGCAGCAGAGAGCCGGTAACACAGCTCATTTCCATCAATACCTGAAGGGTGCCTGGCACACAGTAGTCACTCAATAAATGTTGAGGAAGGTACCAGACTCCTGAAAAGGGGAATACAGTCATTTGGTGGGGTGCACACAGCTGTGTGAAATCCTGAGGCCTCTAAGGAAGTACAATTCCCTAATCATAAGGGAGAACTTTCGCATCTCACAACTGTTTCCCCAGAGTGGAGAAGAACTTTGCAAAGTAAGAGAGCTGGCTTCATGAGGAGGAAGGGAAGCAAAAGAGAAACCTTTTATCAGCAGAGACAGGGCCCCTGCTCGGCCTCATGAGGGTCACTCCAAACCTGGAGACCTCACTCCAGGCCTGAAAGCAGGTAAGGCCAGATGTCTACCATCTGGTGTTGCCGCGCCCTAGTGACACACCTCTTCAAGAAACCAGTAACCAAGTAAAACTGTAGAGGACCCTGGGCCTCCACCAGCCTTGGGAAAGAAGATCACTCTGGTAGCAGAGCTCCGGCCAGCACTCGGAGGACACATTGTAGCTTTCATTGTGGCTTTCATTTGGTGACCCTGTGTACTTTGCTGTCATGGGCCCCCTTCCTGCATGGGAATGTATCCATCCACTTGCTTTACAGTACACTTGTAGTATCAACGGCTAAACGGTTGCCTATTAAAAACATTTTCTTGCACAACAAAACTTCTTTTAAAACCCGGATTCTGAAAGAAGAAACTGAAACACTTTTGGTGGACCCTGAAAAATACGAGCCACCAGTACTGGGTCTCATGGAGAAGTTAGTCCCCAAGTGTCGATCAGTGTGACTCTAGAAACAGAGGAAGGCAGGGATCTGGGCTGCTTACCACACCGGCAGGGAGTGTGCCAGGATCAAAAGAAGGGTCTGACCTCTTCAACCTAGAGCGAGTGTGGGCACTTGGCACACATCACCTGCACGCAGCCACTTCCCAGGAAAAGAGAGCCCACGTTAAGCCTTGGAGAACTGGACCCCCGCAGTCCCTCCCATCCCCAGCTGGGCACCGGGACTGGATGGGGCTGGCTCAGACCGACTTACTTGAGTTCCACTGACCACGAGCCCAGCCATGGTGGCGGGGGCACGGCGGGCGGGCTGCACTGAGCACTGGCTGCACTGGCGGGCGGCGCAGTTCCGCACTGGGTAGTCAGCTGACCGGCGGAAGCCCTAGGCGCCGGACCGCCACCGAGAAGTGCGCGCAGCTGTGCTGCCGCGGCTTGCTTGGCTCCACCGACCGGGGTGCACGTGAACCTCGGCCGCCCGGCAGCTCGCAACAGGTGGCCCGCTGCACTGCACCTAACATGGGGACCCCTAGCGACTACTCCTCTCCCCTGCGCTGTTCCTGCCCGGTTCTCCCCCATCCCCGGGCCCCTGCACCCCAAGAAGGGCCCCTCTAGAACTCGATGCCCAGAACTTTATTGCATTCATCAGACTCAGGCTTCGGGGTGAAGGGGGTCTCCATCATGGGCATGCCATCATCAGAGCCGTTTGTTCCCGGCTCGGAACTGGGCCTTCCCAGAATTTCACAACCTCAGTTACGCAACTGCCCTAAACTGCTAAAAGGAGGGGCCTCCTCACCCACAGTCCCCTCCACCGCTTTGGTGGGGAAGGTGGGAAGGGAAGGGGGAAGGGGCTCCTGGTAGGATGGAGTTTCCATTTGTAAGAGGGAAAGTGAAGGAAAATTGAATTTCCCCTTAAAGTGCCAGCCGGTCAAACCAACCCCTACTCTTCCCACTTGCCCTCACCATGTACCCACCCCCCTCCTCCCCCCAACACGCCAACCTTTGACAGTGATGAACAGTAATGACAGCAAGGGGCGGGAAAATTGGTAATGTCTCCAAGTCTCAGGATCCTCTTATTCTTCTCCTCCAAGGGAAAAGACACTTGTGAAAACTAACGCTATTAATTCGGTATGTGGCTGCTCTCAGCGTGCCGTGTGTGTGTGTGTGTGTGTGTGTGTGTGTGTGTGTGTGTGTGTGTGTGTGTGTGTGTGTACATCTGAACAGGGATGTGATGAGCAAAAGGGTGTAATGTTGAGTGTAACCAGTGAAGGGAGAAGCCAGGCAAGGCTGCCTCAAGCGCCTGTGCATCCTCATCCTCCTCCTCCTCCT